GATAGGGTGGCATTTCTCAGTTTAGCTCTGCTCTTCCCTTTTGTGCCAATAAAATGCACCTGTAAGCTCACAGATGCCAACCAACCTTGAGCTGTGACACAGTACACGTAAATACAGTTGTCATACAGCATACGTCATACTGGGGCTTTGCTGGGACTTTCTGTCAGGCTGAAGAACTGCTGCTTTAAATAGTATCTCAGTTTCAATAAGGAAAGAAAAAGCATTACTGGCTTGTAGTTCTGTTTTTTTTTGTTTATAGTTAAAAGTTTATAATCCCTCTCCCCCTTTTCTATCTTACGTTTTAGGTAAATTTTTATTCCTAATCCACTGGACATAACACACTCTTCTGTAACTACCTTGTTAGCGTTAATATCAGTGTTCCCTCCTCTGGCTGCAGGTGGCCAGACATTTACATAGGTTTGAGTACCATGGGGAAGAACATGTCTGTCAGTAACATCTGGAGCGCCATCGATACTGCCGTCGTGGAGTTCACGTCCAAGGCGCCCTCGCCCGCACATCCAACGCCACAGAGGACAGTAACGATCGAACTGATGGTGCATCCAGGGTACCCGAGTGTCCCACCTGTCGGCGGCTGCGGGGAAGGACCAGATGATTTCTCACAGTCCTGGGAGCGCCTCCATGAACTCCAGACATTAATTAAGCCAGAGCTGCAGAGCCATTACAAAACCCGGAACGTTCAGCTTTGTTCATTCAAAGATCTTTAGGTAAACAAGCATACATACATACATTTATTCATACTCAGAAGATAGGCAGTTGCTGGTGTCCCGAGAAGCCAGACCACTGTTACCAGTATAATACCTCCTGGTGCAGCCGACAGGCTCTGGGAACGGCATTAGGATGCTCATGGGAGAGCAGCACAGGCAGCACCCCAGAGCCCCGACTGGCAGTTTTTAGGCCACAGCCTCTGCTCTGAACGTGACAAACCCCTTCTGCATCACCCACTCACACACTGTTCCAGCGCAACGTGGCAGCCAAGGCCCAGCCCTCCTCCCGGGCCTCAGCTCCTGCCAACCCAGTGGTGAGCAGCACAAACAGGCTTTGCTGCGAGACCGAGGAGCACACTACCACCCTGAGGGTTCTCATTTCTGTTTTTGGACTTAGCTGCAAAAAGAGAAACGTGCTGGGGAGCCAGCGCTGCTTTGGAGCAACCACTCAGTGCGGGTTGCCCGCAGGAGGCCTGGCAACCTCCAGCACTTCGTTTTCTTAAAATACCCAGTCACGGTCCCTGCACCTCCACTCGTGCCTGCTCATCGATGGCAAGGGGCACGTTACTTCAGAGCGTTTCTCTGGCCAGAGCAGTCGGATCACAGGTCTGCAGCCGTATTCCACGTACAGCCTCAGCCAGCAGTAATTATGGCTCTTCCTATTTACATTGCCTCTTGGCGTTAAGCCACCGTAGGAAAGTAACATCAGCCACAGCCCTTTCAGAGAGGCTTTTTTTTTTTTTTTGGATGACTTTGAAAGAACAGCAACTGTTGACCCATCTGCTATTTCGGTAACTGCTGCATATGAGAGCTCACCAGCAACTGTTCCTGCGCTGCCCACTGCCTCTCATGAAGAATGTGGGGGATGGCTGCGTACCAACTGTGAGCAAGTTTTCAAGTGGAGAAGGTCTTTGTATTTGTCCATTTTTATTCCTGTCATCAAAGCATTTGAACTTCAACAAGCCCTACAAATACTGATACCTTTAACTGTGTTCTTAACTGTAGCCATCACTCACATATAATGCTCACGTGGAAAAAAATATTTTAGATGGTGTATGCTACTTTTCTGTGCAAAAGCGATCTATTTAACATAATCATTTTTGGTCAACCATTTTTTTAATACTACAAATTTCAGTAAGATTATCATTCTTTTAGATGAAAAATAAACTCAGGCCTTTTTCTATTGTAATGCTTCAGGAGGATTTTCCCTTTAGTTACAGGTGGAGAGCAAACAAAACCCACTCACCTATCTGCTCCTGCGACTGCCTGCGCAGCACCAGAGGGACGTCTCCTTCCATCATTAATGGGAACCATCTGACCTTCCCTACAAAACATCTGAGGAAGTTTTTGTTCTGTACAAATATGAAAAACAGCATCGAAGATATTTTTTCCAGGTTCATTCCTAAATTATTATCGCAGAATTAATTTGATATGACAAGTAAGGTATGTTTTTAAAAAGCCCATCCACTGTACTGTGCCAGTGCTACACCACGCAGCCAAGCCAGGTGAGAGCAGTAGTTACCTCTTGGAACAACTCGATTTCTGAGGCTTGTCCCGTCGGTGTCTGGCAGCAAAGCTCCTGCTATGTGATAACAGACAATAAAAAACCCCCAAGAGATATTAGACCTGCAGAAAGCAGCTGACATTCCAGAGCACAGCTAGACCTGTGAGTGCCATCTAGCGACTGCTGATATTTTGTTCACATGCAGGGATAAGCCTGACAGCAACACCAGTTATTTAATACCAAATCTCAGCTTTTTATGTAATAGAATCGTATTTTGACAGATACTTTTTAACCTTATTTTTAACACTTAAATTGCTCCATATTGTAATCGATGACTTTGCTCTGATCACGATCCTTGGGAGGTTACACACCCGTTGACCGTCAGATGCATTTTCTGCTAGCTGACCCCTGCAAACACAGCGGCAGTCTTACCTGAGTTAGTTCTGTATCACAAACAAAAAAAAAAAAAAAAAAAAGTTGCAAATTCCATATTTTTAAATGAACAGCATTAAACTCAGAATTTTCTTTTACATTCAAGGGAGTTTTAAATGGAGAAATAAAGAACTTCTAAAAGATTTCTAAATAAGGAACCTTCCAATTGCATAAAATGTACAGAAATAAGGAATTTTCTCTGGTTCTATGAAAGTTTTAAAGACAGCAATGAGTTGAAACTAAAATCACATTCAGGCCACTACCTACAAATGTCATGGCACCAGGATACTTAAAAAAAGAAGTCTAAACCCCAAATCTCTCTGAAAATAAAACCATGCCACAAAGCCTTTAAGAGCAATTTTTATTAGGGTAGCAGAATGGAATTGCAGAAAGCCTATACCAGTACTCCTGGGTGTAGTTTCACCAGTACGTTGTTTTTATTTTGGATATTAAACTGCACGTTTAGAATTCAGCATGGCTTAGGGAACCAGAGAGAACAAGAGCTTGATTTCCTGAGTTAACATAGGACCATAGGACTTCATACTTTGATTTTTTTTTTTTCCTCCTCAGACTTCAGCCATACAGTACAGTATTTGATCTCTCTCTTTTTTCAGAGGGCTGCCTACAAACAAAAGCCATCACTTAGGTTACATATCTTGTAGTTTAGAAATTGAACTATGAAGAACACACAAAGAGAACTGATAGCAGTATCTCTCTTCTATGTGACCTTTGTAGATGAAATCGGAATAGCTGGTATAGCGCCGCTGTAGCCCGTATGAATCGACTGGAGTTCCTTGAATTACACAGCCCTTCAGTTCCCTTTCAACAGCATCCAAGTCACACCGATTCAGATAAATGCAGTCTTTGACCTGAGAGGCTTACAACCAGAAAGTATACGAGGGCAGCAAACCAGTGCTACAGTTTTGTTTTAAACGAAAAGAAAATTTTAGAGAACGGCAAGTTTCCATGCCAACATACATGATCAAAAGGTACAGTGACTCATGTGATGTGGAAGTTACACACACTTCAGTTTGACAGATAATTTGGCATTATTTTATTATGAATCTGAGTGAGCGTGAATGAAACAAAATCAGTACCAACTTTCTGCAAATGAAGACACAAAGATGTGAAAATTTGGTAATAGACAGTGCTCTCACAAGCCTGAAAACACTTAGGAAATGCAAGTTTCCGTAAATAAGGTGAATGTGGTTTAACTTTATTTACCTGCCAAAGAATCTGTCTAAGAACACTTAAACATAAAATTTCTTAGCTCCCTAACTTATAAAAAAAAATTTACTTTCAACAGAGGTGAGGTACTGGGCTGTCATTGTTTACACTAAATCAGAAACGAAAGCTGGATGAGAGGGATGAGTGAAGAAATAGCAAATATACAAGACATTAAAACCAAAAGGGACCTACCGCTTGACACACTAGTTCTGAAAGGTTGCAAAGGCAGAGGCTGTATTAAAACCGAATTTAGCAGTACAGATCTGGGTGTGAGGGATTTTTTAACTCAACTTCCTGCACATCAAAATGATATGTGCTCCCAGGTAACTGTGGATTTCTGGAGATAGATCTGTTTGCTCAATAACATAGCCAAGTTCGACAGGCGGGGAAGAGACGGCAGTTTGATTGTATGGCAGTTTGACTGTGGAGCTATGATCACACTTTAGGCTGGGGGAAAATAGACAGGCAGTCGGGAGAAAAGCAAGAGCCATAGTAAAGGAGCTCAATTCTGAACGGAAAGAGCTTCCTTCAGCATGCGTGGGCGTGCCCTGGAGCAACGGGGAAACAGCTCTGCCCGATTAAGTTAGAATGATACTTGAATTACTCATTAAATCTTCTAACCTGTGTGTTTTTCAAACACAGGAACAGTAGCAGTGAAGCGTACTCTATTACAGGTTATTGCTTAATCCACTTCTCATACCATTTTCAGTAAGAACTGTTCAGCAATTGGGCAGGGAAACAGCACGCGTGCCATCCTGTAAAATATGGATGTTTCATACGCATTCTGATGGAAAAATGTGCCAAGACGACTAGCAGTGCTGTCAGATTTAGTACTTGAATTCAAAATTATCATTTCCAAAATACCGATTTTTAACTCAAAAAACTGTGTCACTTTGGTACCTCTTGGTGCCCAATTTCTCACACTCTTCTAAACTGGTTGCAATGTTGATCTGTGCACGTTTCCCTGACTATTCTGCACAGGTATTGAGAACAGAAGTGAAAGAAGTTTGTAATCACATTCCACTACTCCTTTGCTAGAGAATTTTTTTTCCCCTAAGTTTTCCAGAAGCAGGACATAAGCCATATTTTAATTCAATGACGCACACAAGAACTTGGGTTTCCCCGTTTAATAAACATTTTGTGGTAACATCAGCCAGATTTACATAAGACCTGGACATTACTTCTGATTGGTTTTTTTGTGGGGTTTGTTTGTTTTTTTGTTTATTATGTTACAAACTGAAGTTAAAGGGAACTTGCAACAAGTCCCACAAAGCACAGTGCAACATTTAAAAAGAAAAGTAAACAAAACTGCCAAACACTCAATCATTTTCTGCCAGAACTGGGATATTTTTTCTAAGACATCAGTTTGGGGAGGCGGATAAAATTCAATAAAGAATTAAATGATCTCAAGATAGTGGGAACTGCAAGGAAAAATAAGAAATGACAGCCACAACCTTTTCAATTTAAGGGCAGAATATAAGTCTAAGATATTTTTGATAATTTCTGACAAGAAAAAGAAAACAGCATACTTTAAAGTATATTGAAGCAGTGATTTTTAAACAAAGAAAGCAGAACTAGAACATCTTAAATTTTAATCCTTTCTTTACAGGTTACCTAGCCCACTTTTGATTAAGAAAACTGTAGAAAGTTAGTAACAGCCACAAGTTAACACCGAAAGGTGGCACTTGTCAATTTTCCATAGAGTCCTGCTTTACGGGGTGTCTCAAATGCACTGCTCCGATCTTCTATCATATGTTGCTGACATCAATCGTGTCAGATTTTAGTCCACTGGTCGCTTTTCACCATATTTCTTTGTAAACTCTTCAGCGTTCTTACAGAATTTTTTACGGTCCTTAGAGTATTCTTCAGCTAGGTCAGCCCGAAGGGGATGCTCGGGCTGTGGATCATTCACCAGTGCTATGAGGGACTGGATTACTGTCAAAAGAAGTATAAATACCGTCAGAGACTAAGATAGTTAATTTTTAAAAATCAAAGTGTAAGCAACATTCCCCACTAAGAAAAGAGCTGTAACTGCATTTAAATACATCCCCATAAATCTAGCGTCTTTTCAAAAGCAGAGCATGAATAAGCTATAGCAATATGCCAAGATTTAGTTCAACGACCGTGAACGAACACCAGAAAATCGTATTTGTAAACAAAATCAACTTGAATAGAGATCAAAATGCACTACAAATTATTTCCCCTGTAACTGGCATCCTATCCGAAATACTCTCCTGTGGCTAAGAAAGAAACTAAAGTTTCACAGACAAGTTCATCTAAAAGGGATTGGGTGAAGATGGAATTTCCATCCCGAAACATTTTTGCCTGACACCTGTCACAACGCTGCAGTTGTAACTGGGCCTGCTTTTGGGAAACGTTTTTCTTCAGTTTTATTTTTCTATGACTCTCACTTCCCCTGTAAACAGCAGACAATTCTTCCCTTTACTCTAAACTGCCAAATACATCCACTAGTAGACATACACCGGGCAAACAAAAGGACAGAAACTGCAAGATGCTTTTCACCCCACTGTTTAGAGCCATTTCATCAACGTTCCCCTATCACTTTCAAAGGAAATGTCATTCTTAAAATAACTGAACTGTACTTGACATTTACGCAGTGAACCTCACATACTACAATGACATTTATTGCTGCATTTTCCTCATATACTTTCTCACAACCACTTAAAGCTGGACAGGTCACAAGAATCGGGAGTTCTCATGTCCATCCACTAACAGGGATATGCACAACTAGGCAAGTCTACAGAAAGTGGGTACACAGAAAAAGCATTTCACTGTATGAAAATATTAATATTCCATTTGAGGTAAGTTTGGGCTACCCAGAGTAATACAAAGCAGCACCCCAAGAGTTCTTCAAGCAAGCGCAACGAAGCTCCCTGAACTGCATGCATCGCACTCTGGAGCCAGCTGCCCCTCCTGAACTCCCACCACGGCTGACACCTGCAGCAGTCAGCGCAGGCACCTCCACAACTCCGCCACACACTGCGCGGAAAGTCAGAGCCTGGCGTTTGTTCTGAACCTGCTACTTAGCGGTTCAGCTGGATTCTCCCTAGGTTTGCATTGTAAGTTCTTACAATACTTACCACTCCAGTAGTGCCAGAATACCAGAGTGGCTTCTTTCAGAGCACCAATCTTTTCATGCTCGCACTCTTTTCCACCCTTAACTGACAGGATTGGGGAACATACCTCAAAACAAATACTCAAAATCCAAAGAAGTATGCCTGTCACTATATTGCTAAAGAGGAACATTTCTCACCACAATTCAGAGTTTAAACTGCAACAAACTATTTAAGGAATGTAGAATTGATATTAGCTTACTTCACATTAACTCACTAGTCCCAGACTTATGACAACTGGCATCATATTAATGACTACTTCTCAAACTAGCATCAATACTGCATGTGACAATCCCTCTTCACTCAGTAAAACGCACTAAAACACTACAGAGAAAGCATGATTGTGTTACGAAGGTTATTTAACACACAAGCCAGAAAAAATTAGGATTGTTGTAACAGGAGTTGCCTCAATATCCACAGCATTTTAAAACTATCCTGTCACAGTAGTCTGTTTTAATATCAGGCATAAATTAATAAAAAGAACAGCACTAAGATGCACCTTTAGTACATGAAAGTGAGGTAATGATTTATGAGGAACCTAATCTCTCCCCTTTCTTGACACCTGACTGATCAAATCCAGTCACTTTGATGCTGTACTAATAACGTTGCATTAATTCCTTGAGAGGCCCACGCAGCAAACACACTGAGGTTCACTTTTCAGTGCAGAAGAGTTGTGGAGGAAAAGGAACAGACACGTAAGCAGGGCTGGAATAGCATTGCTGCAGGTTCATACAGCGATGTAGTAACAGATGTACACACTAAAATGATTTCTTGAAGAAGCAGTTAAAAGACAAATGAAAGACCACAAAACAGCAGAAATTGAGAGATCTCCAATACATTGGCACCCGAGTTTGTTCCAAATTCTGATTTAACATAATTTTTATTCACTCTCTAAGATAAAAGGTGAATTGCCACTTCTCAGGGAGACACTATTTTCTGCATGCAAACGATCGCTTCAATAGTTCCAACTAATGCCAGCTCGCATTTCAAGCTAGGTAGAGACACGTCGTTCCTTTACTTAACTAGAGAAGGCTCACAGGATTAAGACAACTGCCAAGGTGTTAAAAGAAAACTTCTACACA